GTGCTCACCGAATATATTTACGCACATTACTCCTAAATAGGCTCACTCCCTATTACATGGGACTCATAACATAAATAGTTAAAAGTGGGTGTTACATTGTACAATGGCATAAATCCACCTCTGCAGGGGTAGCCCTTCGGGGATAAAAGGCGTGATGTTATGCTATGTTATTACTCCTAAATGACTGCATTCATTGGATAATTATTTTACTTATGCTAGTCATCAATAAAATAAAGGTTTTAAGTAAAAAAAAACAAAGATTATCGTAATTCTAGATTTGTTTACAAAACTCTAGATTTCGTAGCCTGAACAGTTCATAAGTGGAGTCAATAAGCTATGAATGCTACTAAATTCTAAATATGTATTCAAAACACTCTCACAAATATATTCTATTGCTTATCCAAGGCTAACATTAGTCTTTCATCATTTTGTTTATTATACACGCTGGATTATTCCGTTTTATATAGCTTTGGTATTGCAAGTATTACCAAAGAGAATAAGTATTCATCGTGGTATATATTAACTAGATACATGACAGGCTGGCTAACATTACTTTCTTAATTATTTCAAACATATTATTATACTAAATTGTGTACATAATGCTGGTCTTTCACACCCTGATTGGTGCCTAAATTTATGTGAAGGTGGAACTATAGCTGCAGCTATTACTTTATTTAATCTTACCTTTTTTAAAATGAGACCGTACTAAGAAATCCAGTATAAATCAACAACCATTAAAACTGTTATGTAGATAATTCTATTATCTAAATAAAAAAAAATTAACAAACCACTACCTAACAAAAAATTCCTTGCACATTTCGCACAACAAAACCCGAACAAAAAAAATAAACCACAAATTCCCGCCAAATGACCTGTCAAAATTCACGTTTAAAAAAAAACACATTCGACCACAGATCTCACACGATACTCACTATAATTATTTTGTTCATTTTTTTTTCTTTCTTTTTTAATTTAATGACTTTAAATTAAATTTAAAGACTTTAATTTAATGACTAACACAGATTGCCAAGTTACAGGAAACAATAAAAAAAAAAAAAAAAAAAAAAATTTAATGACTAGCTTGCGAGGCGCGCCGGTTTATACTGGTAGAACAAGTTAAATGTAACTTTTACATATAAAGCAGTGCAGCTTGCCCAACGAGGCATAATGGTGACGGTGGACGTTACGTCACCGGGGCTTAGGTAACAAACCTTTTTTTGCCAGTAGGTTATAATGCACTGGTAAATGAATTAAGGATTATTTTATTATAGTGAAATTGTTCTAATTATAAATGCGCCTTGGTTAGCTAAAAACGATGAAACACATGACTAGTACATTTGCACTGTTTATAAAAATGAAAGACTGCATGGTTGGTGCGATGGCTGGGCAACCGGCTGCCGTGCAACGTGTCGCGGGTTCGATTCCCGCACGGAACAACACTTTGTGTGATCCACAAATTGTTGTTTCGAGTCTGGGTGTCATGTGTATGTGAACTTGTATGTTTGTAAACGCACCCACGACACAGGAGATAATCCTAGTGTGGGGCTACGTTTTTTTTTAAAAAAAAATATGACAACAGTAACCTCTGAAATTGAGCTATACAAAACGCAACATAGGAAACGCATAACCTTGTATCCGAATCTACTACTAGCTGAACTGTTAAAACCAACTACGACGGTGAAGAGCCTTTTTTTATTTCATGGGACGACGTTTGACCACTATCTCGCCTGGTAGTAAGCGATGCGTACGGTCGTACGGTCTACGATGGAGCACGTCGAGCCGTAAGCAACCTATTCACTCGGGCCTTGAAGACACCTAAGTATACCCTTCAGGAAATACAGACTCTGGCAATGAGACCGAAGAGTGACCACTTTCTATAAGCGGGAGGAACAGCGCTGACTGCTCCATCACAATGCCGTTTTGTTCTGAACTAATTCGCTTATTGGTCTGGCGACCGATTGCAAATGGAAGTAGAGAAGGAGAAGAGAAGAAATATATACAGATACACGTTATAGTACATATTATAATGGTGACTGCCTCGTTGGCCGAGTGGTCGCAAGTGCGACTGCCGGGCAAGGGATCTCGGGTTCGATTCCCGGGTCGGGCAAAGTATTATGTGGTTTATAAAAAAATCACAGTAGTAGCACGGAGTCTGGAATTGTGCCCGGTATATGGCAATAGGCTCACTCCCTATTACATGGAATTCATAATATAAATAATGAAAAGTGGGTGTTACTTCTGTGTGCACCTCTGTCTACCCCTTCGGGGATAAAAGGCGTGATGTTATGTTATGTTAAAATGATACATTAAATTTTTGATTCATTATTAATCACCATCGAGACAAACAGTATCCTATGTTGTTCCCTAAAAATTAAGCCTTCCAACGGGGACAGAGTTTTCCAAATTGGTTCAGCAGTTTCGCAGCCTATTCAATGCAAACAAACAAATAATAAAATTCGTTTACAATACTCATACCAATTAATAGATTTAAAAAATAACGACACACACAATACCACGCCTTTTATCCCCGAAAGGGGGTAGCCAGAGGTGCACATTACGGCACGTAATGCCACTGTACAATGTAACACCCACTTTACACTATTTATGTTATGGGTCCCATGTAGTAATAGGGGGTGAGCGTATTGCCATATACTGGGCACATTTCCAGACTACGTGCTACTATTGAGGTTAAAAATAGTAAATTGTATAATCGACCCGGGAATCGAGCCCGAGACCCCTTGCCCGCAGTTGCACTTGCGGCCACTCGGCCAACGAGGTAGTTAACGACTTACAATAATTTAGAAAGATTAGCTAGTTATTTTGAAACTAATTATAGTGTTCATGTTGATTTTATTAGGCTTTAAGTTATTATAGTGTCTCGTTTATCAAGAGGTCGTAATAGTAATAATCAAAAGTGTGTAAAAAAAAAATGGGCGCCGCCCATGGACACCCGAAACACTAAGGCGTTACAAGTGCGTTACCGGTCTTTTGGGAATTGGGAATTTGATGATTGTTGGAGATTCATGGACTGGGGAGACTGTGGGGCACCGGGTAATAGGCGTGTCGACAGGGTAAAAAAATCAAAAAAGTAATTAGTCCGTCATTAAGATCGCACGAAAATATCAGACACGTATTTTTTGTTTTATCAAATTAACAGAAGAATACGTACATAGTTATTCCGCATTAAAGTTAGGGAGTGGGGGGTGTTGACGTCACACTTATGGAGAAATCGTACCTAATTGTGACGTCACGCGTCATTTTAACTCAAAATATCTACATGTTTTTTTGGATACGAGAAAAAAGAAAAAATACGTATCGAAGATTTTTAAAATATCTAAAAGACGGACAAAAAATTAAAAAATAGTCGCCATGCCTATTGGGTTTCCGGTAACCTCACACACACGACGAAACACAACGCAAGCGTTATTTCACGTCGTTTTTCTGTGAAGCCGTGGTATCACTCCGGTCGAGCCGGCCCATTCGTGCCAAAGCATGGCTCTCCCACACTTGATCTTTGACAGCTAAGTAATTCAAATGCAATAGGTTAACGTTAAAGCCTCAATACATAACATTACCACAGAATGAGCATTCTATGGATTTCCTTAACCCCCTAGGGTCAAACGTCTAAGACCCACATCTAAATCGTTGGCTAAATACTCGGTAGATTTAATATGTAAACTTATTTTATCTCTTAGAATTGTTTTTCACGTTGTAGAGGCATGCTTATCCGGAGCTGCAGACAGGGCTATCTAAGACTACGCTGGGGCTCTTGGACACGCAAAAATTCGGGGCTATTAGGCGTTACTCCACACTAGGATTTTCTTCTGTCTTGAGTGCATTTACAAACATACAAGTTCACATACACATAACACTTGTGCCTTTAGGCTTAATTCATTCTGTCTCCTGCAGTAATTCACCGAGGTAAGTGGAAACCATAGTTTTTTCTTCTTCTTTTATAATATCTTCTGATTCACTTCGTTGCGGGAACCAAGACAGTTACTCATGTCCCTGGGACGCGCCGGACTTCAGTGTTCTGGTGTTTTCATGGTTGTATCTGCTGTAGATCCTGGCTTACAGGAGTTGCAGCGGTTTTGGGAGGTTGTGACGGGCTTGTCCCATTAAAAAAATACACATAACACCCAGACCCGGAACAACAATCTGTGAATCACAGGTTGCCGCGCAACGTGTACGTGTCGCCTGAGAACGGGGTCCCTGGGCAGGGGCCCAAGTGCCCTTATGGTCAAGACGGTACTGATTACAGATAATCTTACAGGTAACTGGGGATCCGGCTTGAAGCAGAGGTAGGAACGGAGTGGTTTTTAGTCAGTAAAGGTCTGACAATCCCTTTCACCTCACCCAAAGCAAGAGAAGTTGGATTGGTTGATTTTCACCCTCAACAAAAAAATGCTTCGGCTGGTTTAACCGGAATTATACAGAAAACCGGCGTTATATACAACGCTTATGTATTGGTACTACCGAACTGATTGCCCCGTTTTCGCCAATCTCTCTTAATTTTTAAGATTCCCCTAAGCTAGGATAGGTGACACTTAACAACATTTTGGTTAACTAAACATTACGAGTTACCTACGTAAATATACTGATAAAAGCTCTACTAGTTTCGAGTCACAGAGGGACTTTTTCTCGTGACCAGCGTGCGCGACGTCGCTCAACTTGTAATTTTTGCTTAATTCACTCACAATAGTAATATTATAAAAACATTTTGGTTTTCTACCTGTAAGCGACATCTAACGGTAAACAGTAAAGGTGAGGAGTTGGTTTAAGTACTAACTCATGCATAATAACTTTTATAAAGAGGCATTTTAATTATTTTATGAAATACAGTAAAACTAAAGCCTTCATTTTTTATTATACTTACAAGAAACCAAGTAAAATACATCGAATCTACTTTATAGTTTAATACACCAAAGAGTTCAATATGAAACCATAAAACCTGCGATTTTCCTCAAAGTTCCCAACCCTGTTTTACCGACGAGTCTGACGTTTGTCCGGACAGCGGGGTGCCGGGAAAAATCAATAATTTCAACAACAACACAGTGACATTTCATTTCGCATTGAACAAAGTGAAATTATAATTATTTTAACGACAAAATGATGCAAGAATACGATGACGACTTTTTCTTTGAAGAGGATAAAATGTACGTATTAGTTTGTGTAATTTTTTCATTTTATCAATGTGTTTTTCTTGGGCAGATCATTTTTCGTCGCGGAGGCGATTATGTGTGGTTTCGTGTTATTCTTTATTAAATTAGTATCTGCCTGGTATTAAAAAATATTATCTACTATAAATTATCGGGCTCTTAAAATTAAATTAACTACAATTTTCTATAAGATAGGTTTAGTTAGTGTAAAAAATGTGGACAGTTTTGTTCTTATTCCGAATACAATAGTATTTTTTTTTTTTTTTTTTTTTTTAAGGGGGGAAAATCATCGAATGACTGCCCCCGCCTGGGTGAGGCGGGAGGGAGTGTCAGACTCTTACTGACTAAAAACCACCCCGTTCCTTCTCCTGCACGTCGAGCCGGAGCCCCGGTTACCCGTTAGGTTCGAATACAATAGTATGAGATGTATCGAAAGGAATATAATATTGTATTTAAATAGTATCATTTATTATTAATTATTTATTGTACATAGTCAAATGTATTGTATTATTCTTATGATAAAATTATTTGTTTTGTCATATACACTTGTTCATTGTAACGCTGTTATTGATTCAAAGCATAGTACTATTATTTTTGAAAAGCTACAGGTGGAGAGAGTTGGAACATCTGCCTATAAAAAAATAATAAAACATTGTGTTTTATTTCTCTAATATTATATATTTTGATATATTTTTAGATTCATAAAGCAACCTTTAAATATTAAGGAAATGTTTATCATTATTGTTGCATTCATACATATTCATTTTAATTTCATTTATGCCCTTTGCTCTCTCATTTGACAGCTCGCCACAGATAACAAAAGCAAAATTAATAGTCTGTGGCCATCAGTATTGCAATATATCCTCCTTATCTACCCAACTTCCTTTGTTTGCAGAATATTATCGCTTGTTTAACAGACTACAACGTTTATGTGTTTTTATTGATTTTTTGTGGCAATGTGGCAACAGAATAGTCAGTTTTATATTTTTAATGATACAAGGATCTGTCCTCAGCTCCAAGCGACTTTACACAGCATGTTTGAAGATAAAATGTTCGTATTTTTTTATTTTTTAAAGTCGAACTTCTATTTTTTTTTTTTTGTTAAGATTGCTTTTTGTTTGTGTATAAAAACTGTCTGTTTTGATAGACTTTTATACTAGTTAAGTATAGATGTGATTAGTAGTATATGGGTTAGAGAGACGTGGAAAATTTTAACACCGTATGGTGTGGGATTGATTCTTAGATTTTAATGTAGATACAAAGTCTGATAGTTGTAAGTAATGTTTTTTAACGTATGTACTTACACAGTAATTATTGTGTTTTGGAGGTTTCTCCTTCTCAGGGTTGACCCGGTGAAAATGGGCACCGCGTCCCGCGACCCGCAGGAAAAACGATGCTCATAGCCCCCTTCTAAATTTGGTTTCTAAATCTCCTTCTTCCTCTTCTGCTACTGACACTGTCTGTATGTGGTTCTGAATTTACAGTAATTATTATATGTATATATAGATTTATGTATTATAACCTTATATTTACAAGAACATAGGTACTAAGGATGGTTTAAAAATTAAGGGTTTGAGAAAGTGCACGCATTTTAAAAAAGGACAAAAAACAAAGGACTTCTGTACGCGGTATTTTAACATTTTTGATATTCGGATAATTATGTCAAAATGCTTGTTTTGATTTCTGTTTAATTGTTATTTTTGTTTAGCAAACCTAACGGGAAAGTGTCTAATTTATTATTGACGATCGAGGAAAAGTGAGTTTATTAATATTAACCTAATTTTATTTTGATTTTATTTTAACCTTTATTATAACTGATTTATTTATTTTTATTTTATTTATTTGTAATATAGTGCAACGCCATCGGTTCAAGAATTAGTAAAGGATGTGTCGGAAATCAAGATTTTTGAAGAGTAAGTGCTTTTTTCATTTTAGATATTTACTTAAAATTACTTCAATGATATACGTATAGTACTCACATGAATCAGAAATCGAAAAAAAAAGGTTTTTTATGGTATATATAGGAAACGAGCAGACGGATCACCTGATGGTAAGCAATCGGCGTCGCCCATGGACACCTGGAACACCAGAAGCGTTAGAAGGTGCGTTACCAGCCTTTTGGGGATTAGGAGTTTGGGGATTGTTGGGGGTTCGGTGATTGGGGAGATTGGGTAAAGGGAGAGGGAGCTGGGCCTTCAGTAACCTCACTCACGCGACGAACAACAACGAAAGCGTTGCTTCACGTCGGTTTTCTGTAAGGCCGTGGTATCAATCCGGTCGAGCCGGCCCATTCGTGCCGAAGCATACAAAAGTCTACTAACTTTAAACCTAAGACTGATGGCTCTCACATTTGTCATTTCGCTAACTAAAGTAATTAAAAACTATTTTACCCTTTTTACACATAGACAGCCGAAGGAAAACATCGTGGAAGCAGATACCGAATGCATTTTCAACGATCTAAGATTTGAAAGATACACCATACAACATCAAGATCTTCTGTAAGTTATACTTATACAGCAGTTCAAGAAGCACCTGTATTAAATTGGGTACTTGCCTTCATCAAAAATAAATTATTTCGACTGTTCAATACAATATAATATTAAAAAATAATCAGTAATCAGATCACACTTTCATCGATTGATTTTATGACAAACTTAATTTTAGTATTTTTCCAGAATTTATTTAAGAAATGAGTATGCTGTTTGACGCTAAAAAAACGTGACGTCACAATAATCAATCTCCTACAAAATTCATAGAAAACTGTTGTTTTTGACAGTTCGAAAAAAGTATTGTTTTTGACTTGCTGGCAAGTACCTACCCAATACTTAGGCTAAGTAGATATTATAGCTATTATTATATAGCTACTATTATGGCTATTATTATATTATAGATGTTATAGCTATTGTTTGATAGCCAATATACGGCCAAAGTTAATAGCAAATCTCATTAATTCCAAGTATATTCCATTTCCATGTAAATAGACTTCAAACAAGTTTCTGTTAAACAGTCGGCTCGATTAGACATTTGGATTGAAATCAGTCATAAATAATGATGGCCGCCCGTCAGTCGACATTTTCTTTCACACTACGATGTTCTCCTGTGTCGTGTGTGCGTTTACAAACATACAAGTTCACATACACATGACACCCAGACCAGGAACAACAATTTGTGGATCACACAAAGAGTTGTTCCGTGCGGGAATCGGACCCGCGACATGATGCGCGGCAGCCAGTTGCTCAGCCACCACCCCGACCGTGCAGTCATTTTTTAAACTATGATTTAAAGTCATTCAATCAATGATATCGCTTGTAACATCGACGCAATACCATTGTAGATTACTTAATACAAAATTATAAAGAACTTTAATATACCTACTTCAAAAAAACTAGTACAAACTCCAGGTAACCATCAATCATTTTGATAATTGTTACTCGCTCAGTAATTCTCACGTTTTTGTGTAATTTATGTAACACACTCGCTTATTGGCTATGTGCGGTGGCGACGCGTAGCGTTTACAACATTTGCGCAAGCTGTCAAATAATAACAATGTAAACATTATAATTTTCTTTGCAAATATAAATAAAACCAAAGATTAAAATAGTATTGTTTGGAAAATGAATATAATAATAAAAACCGGGTTTGAAACTATTATAATACACATAATATTAGTTTCCAACCACAAACTGAGACAAAAGGCAATAAATTAGTCTTAGCCGACCAAGTAAGAAATGTGGAAGAACTGCGACATAACGGCCAGAGCAACGCAACAACAGTCATGGTTCATTTCTTTGCTTTGATTTTGTACTGCAATCAACACATTTGACAGCTGATCATCCGCATTTGTTTCCAATTTCTGCCGCGTTGTGCGCTGCGGTCGTTATCTGTCCGCCACTACTCGCTTTGCACATAACCAATAGTTGACTAAACATATTACCTTTATTTTTCTAGGTGTAATTAAGCTAAGTAATTATGCTAAAAGTATTTACGAAGGAGTTTTAACCATATGTATTTATTTTGACAGCTAATTTTGTAAAAACTGTACCTAAGCTTAAAGTTAAAGTAAGTTATAACGTAAAAAAATATATTTCTATCTGTACATATATTGAATGAGAGAATTAACTAAAATCGCGGGTTACTCGTGTGAATATACTGTTTGAAACTAGTAGAGGTGGTTAACCACAGAGTGAGTAACCCGCGATTTTAGTTAATTTAGTATGTCTCACGATAGTTACTATGAATAAGAGAAGTTGATAAAAATAACATCATAATTTTATTTTTCGAAGTCAAAGTTGCGTTTATTGCAACTAAGTTTATATATTTAATATTTTAAGTTAATCGCGTTTTTAATACAGTATGATAAAATATATATTTTTACGAATTTTCCAACACTTTTTGATGATTCTATGATGAGGAAGAATTATAGGCTGAATCAGCTACAATAATTATAGGTACTTAAGCTAGAGATCTCTTTGTAGTCAATGTAGTTATTTGTCATAAGCTAGTTTTAAGCTAAAAATAAATACATTTATAGAATAAGCACTCGTTGTTTTATTTTAGAATTATTATATATGTATAACTAAGAAATGTAATGAAACTGTAGAAAAAATACTGTATAAAAGTATTATTAAGTACTTATTAATCGCGCTAGACATTTTTGTAAACTTTCAATATATTATCTGTCTTGATCTTTTTAACCTCTTTTCTCGTACTCCATCATTAGTTAGATTTAAAATCAAGCTTGTACATTTCCAGGGGTATGACAGTGACGTCAGGCAGCGTGGTGTTAAGCAAAGATGACAAGAACTTAATAGGTATCAGTATAGGAGGGGGAGCGCCACTTTGTCCCTGTTTATATATCGTGCAGGTAAATACAAGACGTAATTTTACATACAAAATAATAAAACATACATACAGACATAACTGCACGCCTGTCTCCCATGGGGGTAGGCAGAGACTATGGAACGCCAATTGCTACGATTCTTACATACCTCTTTCGCTTCATCAACAGTCATCAGTCTTTACATGCATGCTCATTGGTTACGGGTACTTTTAATTTGATCCTTGTTAAATATAACGCCAATCTAGTTAGTATATGACCGTCTAGGGCGCCCTCTACCGACGCTTCGTATCATATAGCTTCATATCCGCTCTGTATGCTTCTTTCGTTACTCTACTTTCATCAATCCTTTCTACATGTCCAAAATAAAACTACTTTTGAATTAATTTACAACTTGTTTGATGTCCACCCAATGGTTCGTCTGTGGTACTCAAATTTTCACGAATGGTACTGGAATCTTTTTTTTTATAGTACCTATAAGCCGGTATACGAGCAGACGGATCACCTGATGGTAAGCAATCGGTGTCGCCCATGGACACCCAGAACACCAAGGCGTTACAAGTGCGTTATCGGCCTTTTGGGATTTGGAAATTTGAGAATTGTGGAGGATTCCGGAGACTAGGGACGGGGGTAATTGGGCCTCCGGTAACCTCACTCACACGACGAAATACAACGCAAGCGTTGTTTCAATCTTCCAATCTTCCAAAAGAATCTATTTATAGTTTATCGCAAATAGTCAGTAAGACAGAAGCAGACTTAAATGTATAAAGCGTAACTTATTATCATGAATTTTAAATCAGTAGTCATGAATTTTCTTTCTAGTTCTTCTTCATTTCTGCCTCGTTGGCCGAGTAGTCGCAAGTGCGACTGTCGGGCGAGGGGTCTCGGGTTCGATTCCCGGGTCGGGCAATGTATTATTGGGTTTTTTAAAAATCTCATTAGTAGCACGGAGTCTGGAAATGTGCCCGGTATATGGCAATAGGCTCACCCCCTATTACATGGGACTCATAACATAAATAGTGAAAAGTGGTCGTTACATTGTACAGTGGCATTAAGTGCCGAAATGGGCACCTCTGCCTACACCTTCTGGGATAAAAAGGCGTGATGTTATGTTATGTTATTATGTTCTTCTTCATTTTTATGAGAACAAGTCTTTACACGTCAGTGAAACAGTTATAAGCTGATGATGATTATGACGTGTGCATTTTCCAGATCTTCGATAACACGCCAGCCTCAAAAGATGGGACATTACAAAGTGGAGATGAGTTGGTCGGAGTCAACGGTCAGTCAGTCAAAGGCAAGACTAAGGTTGAAGTCGCAAAGATGATACAGTCAGCTAAGGTAAAATGAGTTTGCCACTTCCATATCTTAACTACAAATCGCGAGTTACTCACGTGAATATACTGAGAAAAGCTCTACTAGTTTCGAACCACAGAGGGGTTCTTCCTCATGAGCAGCGTGCGCGGTCGCGTGTCATCATACTCACGTGAGTAACCCGCGATTTTAGTTAATCTAGTATGTCTCACGATAGTTATTATAAAAACTTACATATTTTCTTTGAAAGTAATTAATGCATAAGCATTCTATGATAAACCTAACCTTATTATTAAATGACGATCTTCAACCCTCCTACTAAACTTGAATATTGTAGCAAATTAATTATTCTATTTTCGGCTAACTCACGTAGCAGTTTGACGAAGAACTCGACTAGTTTCAAGCCATGAGTGAATGAGTTGCAGCGCGACAGTCGCCGCGTCGCGTGTCGCGGAATGCTGCTCATGAATATGAGCCTCTAGCATGCCTTTAAACTAGTCTAGCTCCTCGTCAAACAGTTACGTGAGTAAGGCGAAAACATGATAATTAATTTAGTATGTCTCAGGAAAGTTTTAGTAAAAAAAGTGGTACAAATCCCTCATAAGTAGCAGAGGCTCATAAACTGTGAAGTAAGTCATACTTTTTTAAAATAATACTAACCGCTATAGATAATTATCTATCGTTCTCTTTTGACTGCTTCGTTGGCCGAGTGGTCGCAAGTGCGACTACTAGGCAAAGCGTCTCGTGTTCGATTCCTAGGTCGGTCAAAGTATTGATGGGTTTTTAAAAAAAATCCCTATAGTAACACGGAGTCTGGAATTGTACCCGGTATATGGCAATAGGCTCACCCCCTAATACATAGGAAACATGGGACCCATAACATAAATAGTGAAAAGAGGATGATACAGTGGCATTAATCGTAATGTGCACCTCTGCCTTCCCCTCTGGGAATAAAGGGCGTGGTGTAATGTTGTATTCTTCTCCTCAGAATTATTCTTTACGATGTATCCCTATCTCTTTCCAGGATGAAGTAACAATAAACTACAATAAGTTACACGCTGATCCTAAACAAGGCAAATCTCTAGACATTATAATGAAGAAGATGAAACATCGACTAGTTGAGAACATGTCGTCAGGAGCTGCTGATGCCCTGGGACTGTCTAGAGCTATCCTTTGCAATGATACTCTAGTCGCCAAACTTAATGAACTGAGGGAGACTGAGACTACTTATAAGAGGCTCGTGGAAAATGCTAAGAGGTGGGTTTTAATGTTATTGTACTTTGCTTGCAAATAAACAATTTTTCTTTATTTCTTCTTTCTTTCTTTCTTCTTTCTTTCTTCTTTCTTTCTTCTGTCTTTTAGTTTGACTTAACATAGCAGGGTTTGATGATAAAGGTGTTAGTTTTTATTATCTCCTGGTATATTTTTATAATGTTTGAATGATTACCAAGACATAGAGAAAGCCCATGGTTGATAGTAATCGCTTGCCTTTAGCTGATCCGTTGGCTCATTTCACAGTTACAGAATTTTATAGAATTTTAAATTTTTGAGCTATGACATAGTTTTAATCCGAAACCTCTATGAAAATGAGATTAAAACTCATGCCATGATATAGTAGTTAAATTCTTAACCTGGTGCAAGGTAGCATTCAGCTATAAATCAATAATAAATCTCCAACACTCTTCCAGGATGTTGAAAGCCTACTTCGATCTTCTACAAACGTACAAGTCAGTTGGTGACATCTTCGCCGCTATAGGAGTGAGGGAACCTCAAGCGAGAGCATCCGAAGCATTCACTAAATTTGGCCAGTACCATCGGTTGTTGGAGAGAGATGGTATCAAGATGTTGAAGGCTTTGAAACCGGTGAGTGTTTACATTGTGATCTTGGGTTTTAGATAACAAAATAGATTTGTATGGTACTTTACTTACAAAAGATTAATGTAAATCATAATCATATCAGCCACATAGACAGACTTCCAAATCAACCAGCATGAAACTGACAGGGGCCTATGCCTACGCACAATAGATTTCATTAAGTACCTAGAAATGAGATTATTCGAAAATGAAATGCTGTCTACCTACCTAGTTTACTTTTCTCTAGAAACCAATGAAGCAGATTTCGTTTTCACAACTAAATTGTTGCAAACGATAATAATCAATATCTTTCCAATTTCTTCCAGATCCTAGCAGACATGGGTACATACCTCAACAAGGCTATACCGGACACAAAACTCACTATCCGCAAATATGCCGACACGAAGTTTGAATACCTCTCCTACTGCCTGAAGGTTAAAGAAATGGATGATGAAGAATATGGATACAATGCACTGCAGGAACCATTGTATAGAGTGGAGACTGGGAATTATGAATACAGGTGAGGAGAAATTGTATTCAATAGAAAGGAAAGTAATGGAAGATTTGATTGAATTTACTAAATCTTCTTCTTATGGTGCCACTTCATTTCTGAAGTTTTTTTTTTAAGAGGGGAAATTCATCGAATGACTGCTCCCGCCTGGGTGAGGCGGGAGGGAGTGTCAGACTCTTACTGACTAAAAACCACCCCGTTCCTTCTCCTGCACGTCGAGCCGGAGCCCCGGTTACCCGTTAGGTTCTCCGCGACTCCGAATCGGCATCGGCCCTATTGGGCCCCATCTGTGGTGGTCTGATGGCTCTTTGAGGCGCGCGCGGAACGCTCGGCGCCGTACGCTCGGGTCTGTTTCTGGTCGGACGGGGAGCCACCCATGCTCGCCGTCCGCAGGCCCGCGCTTACGGTGGCCAGAGATCGTTCATTTCTGAAGGTTGACTGTCAGGTTTTTGAATTGGTCCTTGTCATTGGCCAGTCGGAAAAGTTAATCCACAGAGCTGATACCGGTCCAATTCTGAATGTTGTACAGCCACAACTTTTTCCTTCACCCAGCGCTTCTCTTTCCTTCCACCTTACCCATCATTATAAGATGAAGCACCATGTATCTGTCATGTCTCAGTACGTGACCGAGATATTCTATCTTGAGCTTTCTGATTATTTGGATAATTTACTCGTTGGTGACATTCAATAGATGAACCTATCAAACTAATACACCCTGTTTGTTGTAAGTGAAAATGATAATTAGTAGTAGATCGAATGATAGGGAAGGAGAATGGAACGGAGACAATCAAACTGAAACGCTTGTTACACGAATTTTAAAACTTGATGAGGTAGATTTTCATACTGACACAGGCGTGCTGAGAAAACATTCGTAACAATATGGGTGTATTTTAGTACGCTAATGACTCAATTCTAGTCCAGTTTCTGATAGGAACAACATTGAGTCTTAAAAACAAAAATTAAATTATAAAGGGCAAGGTAAGGCGTACCTAAACGTAAGGGTACAATTAATGCTGCAACTGATAATTTAATATGTATTCCTTACAGGCTCATTCTTCGTTGTCGTCAAGATGCCAGAACGCGTTTTGCTCGTCTGCGATCAGATGTTCTGGTGAAGTTGGAACTGCTAGAGAATAAGAAGACGCAAGACGTTGCCTACCAGCTGCGACGATTCATACAAGGACTGGCTCTTTATCATAAGTGAGTATTTTTATTTTGAACTAGCTGCACAGACCTGCAACTTCGTCTGCGTTATTCTAAAAAAAGCTACTCCTTAGCATATCAGCTACCTGCCAGTAGAAGTTTCGTCAAAATCGGTTCAGCCATTACAGAGATTAACCAGTACAAACAAACAGACATACAGACATACAGACAAACAGACAGAAAGACAGACAGACAGACAGACAGACAGACAAAAATGTAAAGAATGTTATTTTGGTATGTGTATCGTATGTATACACATTTCAATTTAATTTATCTGTATAGATACAATAATTTGGTTAGATTATCTTGTTGATTGAGTTGGCGAAGGTGACAGGTGAACATGATGCCTTCGGTTTAATTTCAAAGTGTAATCAAGTATGTGTGTGGCAATCTATCGTTGGCGAATAATATTGTAGCCACTTTTGTTAAAATTAATTTCGTCAAACGCCTCTGCGAAATGTTCGAGACATTGGTGTGAATGAATATAATTATGTTCACAGCGAATCAGTGGAGCATTTGAAAGAAAACGCGACTCTGTTCCCGGTCGAAGTGGATCTCTCTCAGAATGCCTTCCAGTACAAGTCTACTGCGCAGATTATTCAGGTTTGTCGTTATGAATATTTTCTAGTCGTTTTCAACTCATTTCATAGAATTCAATTAAATAAACAAGTGATTCGCAAAAAACATAACACCGTAGGCAGAGGTGCACATTATGCCACTGTACAATGTAACACCCATTTTTCACTATTTATGTTATGAGTCCCATGTAATAGGGGGTGAGCCTATTGCCATATACCGGACACAATTCCAGACTTCGTGCTACTACTGAGATTTTTTTTAAACCCAGTAATACTTTGCCCGACCCGGGAATCGAACCCGAGACCCCTTGCCCGGCAATCGCACTTGCGACCACACGGCCAACGAGGCAGTCTACAACAAAAATAAATGTTGCTATAAATCTTCTAACAAACAAATATATTCCACAGGACAACCCAGAAGAAGAAGAAGAACTAGAATTCGGCAAGGAAATACACGAATACCACGACATTGCAGACCTGGACAATAAAGAAGCAAAACTTATAAACAGGCGTCAAACTAAAGATAATGATGATACTGAATCATCAGAACAACTCCTACCGGACTTCGACAATGTCGCCCTTAGCTATGACAAAGAAGAAAAAGCTGATAACATTGACAAATCCGACAATATGGACAACCTGACTTTGCTGACAGAATTGGGCCTAGCTGACACAAATGTCCAAGATGATTTCGGTGACTTCCAAAATGGCCTGCTTGACGAGTTCCTCCCTAAAGCCAGTGGGGATGATAAAAATGATATATTTGATAAGCTGTTGAGTGATTTTAGTCTTTTAAATAAATAAATAAATAAATGTTTGTTGTATATCAAGTACTGTGTTTTATCTCTCTATAACAAGGTTGAAAAATTTGTTATTTTTTGGCCTTTTTTATTCAAGGGGGGAAAATCATCGAATGACTGCTCCCGCCTGGGTGAGGCGGGAGGGAGTGTCAGAGTCTTACTGACTAAAAACCACCCCGTTCCTTCTCCTGCACGTCGAGCCGGAGCCCCGGTAACCTGTTAGGTTCTCCGCGACTCCGAATCGGCATCAGCCCTGTTGGGCCCCATCTGTGGTGGTCTGATGGCTCTTTGAGGCGCTTAGAGTTATTTTTTGGCTAAGACCTAGTTATTTGTTGAGGAGTCTAGATATTTTTCGCCTGTTGATATATGGGAGAGCCATGCTTCGGCATGAATGGACTGGTTGGCCGACCAAAATGATACTACGGCCTCACAGAATACCGACGTGACGGGAAACAACGATTGCGTTGTGTTTCCACGTGTGAGAGCTTACCGGAGGCCCAATTACCCTCCCCAATCTCCGCAATCTCCAAATCCCTACCAATCCTCAAATTCCTAATCTACAAAAGGCCGGTAACGCACATGTAACGCCTCTGATAATTCGGCTGTCCATGGGCGGTGCTAATGGCTTACCATTAGGTGATACGTCTGGTCGTTAACCCGGCCGGTGTAACCCGTAACCGGCATAATGGGATAAGGATTATATTAAAAATATTGAGATCTTTCTGATTTGATTGTAATATACTTTAACTGATGTGAGGATGGTGCTAATACTTGGTTAACTAGTATTCCAATTATACTGTCTAACGTATAGATAGGCACTAAGCACGTACTACAACCAATTTTAGTAAAGAGGTCGATGAAAGTGAGTAGGAATTCCATTCAATGATGAATAATAATTAAACAACATTAGAAAAATCTCACAATTTATTCATAAGTTATTCAATAATAAATAATACGCAAGATAAGCTTCGTTACACTTATGATCTAAGTATGTTACAAAAGTATAAAAATGTAAAAAATAAAAGATGTAAATATTTCGATTTTGTTAGGCAATTTTCTAATGAATTTGATTCGTGTTGTAACTTGATGAAAGAATTTTTAAAACATTCCCGTTCATAACAATCACAATGCCATATCCAAGATGATATGAGACAAATAAATAATACGCATCGTACCGACCAAATAATAAATTGGTGTGTTGGCGTCGGCATCTCCGCCTACTCCAATGGGAGGCAAATATGGATTAATGGTCGAGAGGCCGAGTGGTCGCAAGTGCGACTGCCGGGCAAGGGTTCTCGGGTTCGATTCCCGGGTCGGGCAAAATATTACTGAGTTTTTTAAAATCTCAGTAGTAACACGGAGTTTGGAAATGTGCCCGGTATATGGCAATAGGCTCACCCCCTATTACATGGGACTCATAACATAAATAGTGAAAAGTGAGTGTTAAATTGTACAGTGGCATTAAGTGCCTACCCCTTCGAGGATAAAAAGGCGTTATGTTATGTTATGTTATGTACAACGGCAAATCCTAATACGGCCCATGACCATGATGTTCATGAGGATCAAGGTAGACATGATGATAGTAAACCCTCATTTCAGGCCACGGCAATTTAAACTTTAAAGACTTCACCAAATCTCCTTTCATCCCCTTTATACTTTGCAAATACATTTGGGCCTTTTTCCCGTACTCTGGCAGATGTTCATAAGTCTCTTTGATCAGTTTGCCTTTATTTTGTAACTTTGGGATGATTTGGAGGACATCTAGTTGTTGGACTTTGTCTAAGTCTATTGTGTCGACGAATTGTTGTATAGTTGTGGTTGCAGTATCTGTTAGAGATTGCAGTTTTGTTGCAGCTGTGTCTGTTATTGTTTGAAGCTGAGTTGCTGCTGTATCTTTCAGCTGCTTGAAGTCCAGCGTTGCAGCCGCTGAATGCAGTAGTAGTGCGATGAACTGTAATAAATGTTGCAGTTGAAATTTTTATAATACATTTTTTACGTTTCCCTAAATCACTACATAGTATAAAATAAAGTCGCTATCCTCCGTCTGTATGTCCCTATGTATGCTTAGATCTTTAAAACTACGCAACGGATTAAGATGCGGTTTCTTTTAAATAGATAGAGTGATTCTTAAGGAAGGTTTATATGTATAATATATGCATATTGCACCCGTGCGAAGTCGAGGCGGGTCGCTAGTTACATATAATTGGTTCTAGTGTTGTTGCATTAATGAGCTAACATCAACCCTAGATCGGAACTATAATTTGCCTTTGATGTTTATTGATGACTGCCTCGTTGGCCGAGTGGTCGCAAGTGCGACTGCCGGGCAAGGGGTCTCGGGTTCGATTCCCGTTTCGGGCAAAGTATTACTGGGTTTTTAAATAATTCTTAGTAGTAGCACGGAGTCTGGAACTGTGCCCGGTATATGGCAATAGGCTCACCCCCTATTACATGGGACTCATAACATAAATAGTGAAAAGTGGGTGTTACATTGTACAGTGGTATAATGTGCACCTCTGCCTACCTCTTCGGGGATAAAAGTCGTGATATGTTATGTTTATTGATTACTATGTAACAGAACAGGTGACTGACTTAATTACTATAAGTCGAGCCCTATTTCAACCTCCAAATCACTTTTTATTATACATATATTTGATGGATCGACGCTTGACCACTATCTCCCCTGGTGGTAAGCGATGATGCGGTCTACGATGGAGCACGTCGTCCCATAAGCAACCTATCACGGTAAGTATTACACCCTCAACGCCAAACAGTATGTAATGCTAAGCTGGCTAACTCTTTGCCTGATCGAAGAATTTTACAATCACATTAAAAGGTCCGTTATTAAATTTAAACTCGATTAACATCGAAAGCACTTTTCTCATCCTAAAAATCGAATCACATAATCGATTTAAAAATACAAAATTCACACTCACCAGCACATAAGACCGCATGTTTGTTACGGGGGTAAGCACAGTACTGCACGTAGTGGATAACTACCTCTTAATATAAAGTAAGCGTTGCACACCATATAATTAGTGGCGGGCTTATTCTGGACAACGATCCGACGAATTTACGATGAAGCTGTTGTCTAGATACACGTTTAAATAGTGAGATTTTAGTTGTCGTTAATACCCGAGTTATTTATACCTACATTAATGGGATAGAGGACAAACTAGCCTCGTTGGCCGAGTGGTCGCAAGTGCGACTACCGGGCAATGGGTCTCGGGTTCGATTCCCGGGTCGAGCAAGGTATTAGGTACTGGGTTTTTTTTTAATTCTCAATATTAGCACGGGGTCTGGAATTGTGCCCGGGATATGGCAATAGTGATGATGATGATATTATATCTAATAGTGAACAAATAAATAGTGGATAAAAAGGCGTGATGTTATTTAAGGACAATCGAGCAGACGTATAATCTGACAATACCTGGACTAACTCCGTGTTTTTGTTTTTTAAGTTAACGACAATTTCTGAAAATGTAACCTAGCTATTTGCCCCCGAAACGCCCTAAATAGGTACAAAGTTTCGAGAAAATCTTTGGAGTCGTTGCCAAGATCTTTGATACATATCATACAAGAATTGCTCGTTTAAACGTATTAGATATCGGCACTTATCCTAGACGCGAACTAGACACAATTTTTTTTATGGCCAAAGCCGGTACAAACGAGCATACGGATCACCTGATGGTAAGCAATCGGCATCACCCATGGACACCTGGAACACCAGAGGCGTTACAAGTGCATTACCGGCGTTTTGAGGATTAGGAGTTTGAGGATCGTTGGAAATTCAGGAATTTGCACAATATGCTCTTCGAACTAAAAACAAGGCACCAATTTTTCGACATTCGCGATCCAGAATACGACCACCAAGGGAAAGTAGCGACTTGACTTGAACATCACTTTATACGTATTATCAAAATTCAACACACAATAACAAAGGTTTGCTTGTAGAATATTAATGAGAAATGTACCTAACTTAAGATTTATAGCACTGCAAACAAATGTCGTGATGTAATTATTGTGTTTAAGGCATTGGCTGCCAATAAAAAACTGTTGAAGGCAAATCCTCCGCTGATGTCGGTCACCGGTGACTGCCATGGCGTTTAACGTGTTAAGCATTTTGAGTGTCGTTTGTTTAGTAAGTCCTATGGTACGTATGACCTATTTTGAGCAACGCGGTTCATAAGAAATTACTATAACTAATAGTGCCCGTTTTCACCAACCTAGCTCAAATTTTAGAGCCGCGGTAAGAGATTGTCGGGTCTCCGGCTGCGAGCAAGAGTATGAACGGGGTGGTTTTTAGTCAGTAAGAGTCTGACACTCCATCCCGCCTCACCCAGGCAGGAGAAGTCATTAGATGATTTTCCCTCCTTAAAAAAGTTAAATTTTAAGAAGCCCCTAATATATGATAGGTTGAACGACACAAACGACTATTTGGTTTTCAGCCATCTACATATAAGAACACCTAACAGTAGAAGGTTTAGATGCTGCATAAAGCAAAGTAATTTTTAGTTAACACGTTAAACGCCATGGCAGTCACTGGTGACCGACATTAGCGGAGGATTTGCCTTCAACAGTTTTTTATTGGCAGCCAATGCCTTAAGAGAACTTTAGAGGCGGTTGGTAAAAACGTCTATGAAACTAATCAGGATTTTTTTAAATGAGACAAGCCCGCCATAATCTACCGGGGCTCCGGTTCGAAGTGCGGGAGTAGAAACGGGGTGGTTTTTAGTCAGTAAGAGTCTGACACTCCCTCTCGCCTCACCCAAAAAAAGGTACAGCAACTTGACTTTCCGTAGTAAATTTCTTGTATTCATACAATTCTTATTTGCATTATTCATGAACACGCTAATCATAGCCGTCGATCTATGTATGTACAAGAATATACATAACTAAAACATTATTGTAATTAGTGTAGATTTCTAAATATTGTTATGTACAACTATCTTTTTTGATCAAGTGATAGCTAACAGAAAGCAGCGTACCTATTTCGTAGTTCAAAATAAGAACGAAGTACGCCATTTTGTATTAGGATCTATACCCTGGTGAAAGTCGCGGAGAACCTAACAGGTTACCGGGGCTCCGGCTCGAAGTGCAGGAGAAGGAACGGGGTGGTTTTTAGTCAATAAGTGACACTCCCTCCCGCCTCACCCAAGCGGGAGCAGTCATTCGATGATTTTCCCCCCTTAAAAAAAATTAATTAAAACTGTCCACAAGGAACTAAAATGTCATTTGAAAGATACCAATCAAAACGCATTGGCTTCACGCATTTTTTTTATTTTTTTGCAGAGAGCTTAGGATACGAATGAAACCGCGCTTGCGTTGTAATTAGTTGGTTCATTGGAGCCGGCCAATCCAAGCGCCGAACCCGGTTTCGTTTCGATTTCGAAACGTAAAACAAATTCGTACTAAGACCTTTTTTTACAACGCGATGGAATGCTTCACGGACTTCCCACCTCGTGGGGACGACGGGGGCGTGCCGGACTCTTACCGGCTAAAATCACCACAGCGATCCTCCTTCGCCTGTGGCCGTGTCCCGGGATGTCCTTGCGGATTGCTTGTACGCATGATATGATAGCCCTTGAGACTAGTACAATGCATTTGTATCAACTTGGATCTTGGAGTTGTCATGCTCACTCAAAAGTCTCATTGGCAGTGGCAGCATTAGATCGCGATCGATTCCCTACAACATGGTTGAGTTGGGCGGTGCTGGTGTACGTGTCATGTTCGTCAACGGGCGCTGTCAACTAGGACTAGTCAGCTCCAGACTGTATTAAATTTGTTGCCCTCAAGGTTATTTCCTTTTTCCTTCTCCTTGACTAAATATTGGTGTTACATTGTTCTCACATAATTTAACTCAACGAAACAATGTAACCAAAAATTGTATTGTGAACCTGATTTAAAAAGAGTAACCTATGGAGTTTCTTGCTCGTTCTTCTCCATAGGAATCTACACTTTGGAACGAGCAAATAGCTTCACTAGAGGACTGACCTAGAGACTGACATTTTTTCTTATTATTTTGAATATTTTGTTGTTGCACTTCAAAAGTGTCTTCCTGGTCTAATTGAAATAAATGATTTTGACTTTGACTTTGATTTTGGATTCACCGCACCCGACTGGTCCCCACGAAGCAGCCCTTGGAGATTAATTTCCTTCCTCGAGTTGCGCGCGTGGAACGCAACGCTAACATCTACTCCCGCCCGTATAGCGACTTACTACCCTAGTCAGTCGCGCGCATGTACTTAGCCCCCTTAACTTTTGTTTTAAAGATAAATATTGACAAATCCCAAAAGAGAGATGAAGGATACCAGGAGAATTAAAACAAAGAATATTCTTAAAATAAAATATATTATCGAACCAATGTTACAGCTTAAAAAAATGTACGCTTCAGATAGTTAGCTCTAAACCTAGTTCATTACAATTAACAATATTATTTTAATAATGCATAACAAAAACCTTTTTCATCTAAAAACTCAGTACTTACTCCGTGCTTGCCTTTAGAAAATAATTATGAACTTTAATTTGAAACCCGTAAGGCGCCTTTTGGTGTGATAACGCTACACATAGGACAATGTGACGTCACATAAAACAACATGGCGTCGCGCTAGAACAACATGACACTGTGACGTCATATTAGACGTTAAAAAGCCAGAATGCGTCAAGAATTTTTATTCAATTTTAGTTTGTAATTTAATACACATGAAATCATAAGTCAAACAAAATGTTCGAAATGAAACGTTATTTTGTGAATTTTTCGATTAAATTTGACTTACTTGATATTATCTTAATATGAAAAATCAAAATAAGGGTGTTATTATTTTATTTTCAAATATCCATTTTGATCATATTTTAAATAGATAAATGTAATTACAGTAACAAATAAAACAATTTCGTTTTAAAAAAATCTGTTATACAAAATATAAATAGTTAAAATTCGGTCGATAGGTGCCTTAGTACGCACCAGAAAATAGCTCTTATCGCTTAAGAAATAAAGGTGATTTTCAATTGTAATACACGTAGATACATTTGCCAAGAAATTGTGCAGATATTTATGATATTCAATGAGAAATGCAAATGATAGTTTTTGAGAAGATTTTTCGTATTATATTTGTTGATATTCATTTATTTATACGCTTTAACTCGTCGAGCACCGTCATTATAGACACAATTCAAGAACAATAGGTTGCGGTCACCGGTGTCCTCGCGGTGTTTGACAGTTTAATATTATTAATGGCTGTCATCCAAGAACAAAAGAATACAGTTCAATAATTACAAAATGCGCACAAACAAATAAATATCACAAACAAATACAAGAATAAACTACAAAACAATTATTTTTCCTTAGAAATTAACGAGAAACGAGTTTAAAGATCAATAATTAAATTTAAAAAAATAACAAAAAAAAAGAAACTAAAAAAATAATACAACTGCCCCATACCATCTTTACCATCAATATTTTGACTAAATATGAAAAAATTGTATATAAGGCAGAGTGTACTACATTATTTTTTTTTATTTATTTAATTTATTTTTCTATTGTAATGTAATAATAATAATAATAAAGCGAGAACTAGTTGACATGCTATAAATACATATTTATACAATATTTTTTTTGTTTGGCAACACTTGTGGGGATAGCTATCGTCTTGAGTTTCATTTTCTGGTCATACAAAACCTAATGTTATCATATTAAAAAATCCTTACCCGAAGATTAGTGTTGAACAAACCGCATGGTAACTATACTTTTATAGTACAAAAAAGGTGTAGCTTGACATGCATTTTTCCTTAGAAGTGCTTTACTTAATTCAACCAACACTTTGAACTAGATATATTTTTATTAAGGTCTAAAAAACCTATATTTCGCCTTCTAAATTTCCCTGACTATTTTCCTTCAAAGCTTACCATTCCATACAAAAAATTGACCAGCAATATTTATATCAAGCATTCCCCAAGTTCTTCGTTACAAGCATTATCTTATACTATTAATA